TATTAATTAAATAAGTACATGAAGGCAACAGCATACCTTAAGACGCCATACCTATATTTAAACATGTCGTCTTATTGTATACCTATAATATATAAACGGATTCAAAATCTTTTTTTAAAAACAACAAAGGTAAAATGCTGATGCTTTGTTACAAAAAACTGCGTCGATCACCTGACCATATCAATTATTTCACTTTTGGTTTGACATGTGTAAAAAGGAACAAAGCATTTTATTCCAGTGTTTCTTGGAAAATGTACAAGCCATTCTAAACACATTCTGAATACATTTTTCATAATAGCAAAACAATTTTGGTTATCAACAGACTTTTGAAATATGAAAATATTAAGGGGTCATATATAAATAAATGACGACTTATTTCTGTACGAAAATTTCATTCGTAGTTGATTATAATTATTTAAACTGTAAAATGTGTACTGTAGAACACCTTTAAATGTTATATATTTCAATTTGTGTATCTATTGATAATAATAATTTAATGATGGACCCTTTAAAAAACAATGAATTAAATAAATGGACTTTTTAGTTAAGAAAAATTTTACTTTCCCTAACAATTGTACATTTGTGTTTAACCAGTTTTATGCATATTTGTGATTACTGTAACTTTTAAAACCTCCACCAGAAGGTCACATTTAAATATAAAAGCATATACAAATACAAAGTTAAAACTTTAGTTAATAATACAATATGTATGTAAAGTTGTATGTTTACTGCTTAATTGTGAAATAAAAATTAACCCATGTCCTTCTTTAGAACCTGGAAAAAACCAATCCATTCATGAATAATGTCAGTATAAAAACGTTCATGAGAAGAGGGAGATAAAACAAATACTCTGCCAGCAATAATTAAATATATCACAAGATGACTACTTAATCATCAATGTAAATAAAGAAAGGTGTAACAGAAAAGTAAGATAAATTCAATGAGAAAATCGACAGATAAAATTATGCTAAAATGAGTCGACATGATCATAAAGATACAAAATATCAAACTGTCTTATAACATCTATAACAGTGAAATCAACCGGTTTTGAAATGGAAAGGGGGCACAAAAGGAAACGAGTGAACTAGAAACGAATTTCGACCTAGGAAAAAAATGGAAAATGTGAAGTTACGATAATGGATTCAACAAGTTTTGATCAAGAAAAGGGGTTCCAATAGTAAAATCGACACACTCGAATGTCGACAAAAGAAATCCAAGTGGAAAAATTAAAGTAACAAAACGAAAGAACGATTTAAACCATTTTCAAAAGTTTTTACAATAATTTGGTAAAAACTAGGGAAAGACAAACGAAACAACCACATAAGGATGTGATCTAACAATTTTGGATTTTCCCCAAAAGGTACACACATAAGGTAAATATACGCCGGAAAATGCAATAATGCAACTTGCACTGCTTAGAACCGTCACATTATGGTCATCGTGAAACTCGCAAATTTAAAAAAAAAAAAAAGATGGATTGGAATCTCAAAAATATACTTTATCACCAACTCAGTAGTCAGTATTTTTGTGTTGACATGAAATATCATTGATATATATATATATATATATATATATATATTATATTCTGTTATTTACTGTTTATTAATTGTTAATGATTCGAAGCACTAAGGTTTTTCTACTCAGGCATCAATTGCCTTCGCTGTATTTCAGCAGAATGGTTCAGAATTTTTGGTTTGAATGCTCTTCATTTTCGTATTTGGTTTGGCTTTCAACTGTTTTGATATGAGCGCATCTGACCAGTCTCATGAGCCAAAACACGCGTTAGGTGTACCAAATTAGGACACTGGCATCTTTGGTGACTTTTCACAACCACTGGATGGAATCCACTACTGATATCACCAGTCCGGTAGTCAGCGCATCGTGCTGACATTAAATTTCATTTGTATGCTAATTTGCTGTAAATTTACTGAAAAAAATCTAAATCATTTGAAACACTAAGATAGTGTTTATCCAGGGGATATATTGCTTAAGCCGTAGTTGGCACAAATGTTCAGTTTGTAATAAATTTCGACTTTGCATGAGATTTGGCATTCCAATTGTTTTGATTCGAGCGCCACTGGTGAGTCTTTTGATGACGAAACGCGCGTCTGGCGTACGAAATTATAAGCCTGGTATCTTTGATGAGCTTATTTACTTAAAAGAGAAGTGTAAGATAACAACGGCATACGATACAAAGAGATCTCTTGTTAATGTGTCCTCAATATTTTTGTACAAACTCGATTTCGAAATACACTACCGAAAAATACAGAGAAAATTATACATTCATAAAAAATGAAAACAACACGTAATAAATGTAATGCGTCCGTAGCGCTTTTCTGGATTTATCTTCATCAGGAATGCTCAACGCCGAATATTTGAAAGCCAAATATGTATACTTTCTTTTTATATGGATATTTCGGTTTGATATTGGCGTGTTTGAGATTGAAAACAAAAATGCAAGGAAGCCGAAACATACTCTTTAATTTTTTATTTCAATTCACATTTCCGTTTACTAAAATTCATTTCCGTATATTGTCCAATTTGGTTAACGTGGAATAAGGATATGGTTAACGTGGAATAAGAACTTATCTGTTTAAAAATGGATGGTAATGTGATTTATAACGATACATGTTTTTCTTTATCAATTTATTTTTAATGTGCAAAAAATAAATATAATTGGTAGTTTATTTTTTTAAAGAGTAAGGTGTGTACTCTGCAGACGAGCTATAACATTTCAAAGAGATAAATCTCAGTTAGAAAAAAGTTTCTATTTTAATATCAAATTTAAAGATTTATTAATGAAGAGATTATCTAAACAGTAAATTAAAGATAAACATGTTTTGTCATGGACAAACGATTTGAATGACAAAGAACTATAATTGATGTTGTATTATTATTCATCAATGAGATATAACATTATTTAAACATGATTTCTTCTGTTACATAACAAAAGAACTAAATAATAAAGATTTAATCTGACGAACTGTTAAAACAGTTATAAACACAATGCCTGCATATCTCATTACATTGAAATCAGTATTTAATGGGGTTTAAACGTACACGACCCTTCTGTTATACGAATCCCTCACAATTTGTAAAAAAATGTACCTATCCATTAATTCGAATGTATTTTTTACGGAAAACACGGTTCTCACATGTATAGATCTGGCGTTATTATGGAAAACGTTAGTGGTAGTCATAATCTATACTGTTGAGATTTTTTTCTTCTTCATAATAACTGAAATGCGAGTTGCAACTGACGCTACAAAATGTACTTTCTTTACTTGATTTTTATCAAGAGATAAATTCTAACAAACACTTTATTTTGATATTGATGAATATGTTCGGGAAAAAAGTGTAGTCCTTATAGCAGTGATTAGAAACCCCTCCTCTCTTTCACCCTCAAAGTAAATAAATAAGACAATAGAATCAAATATTGAAACATAATCACGTAAAATGTAGAATAATGAAACCAGTTTTGTGCAAGACGATATTTCCCCACTTGCCGGTTTTGTTTCATATCTAACTGTCAATTGGAGAAATATGGTATTGCATAAAATTCTATTGTGATTTTTAGACGATATGTGGACAAACATTATTTTTCTTTTATAATGATCTGCAAAAAGAAAAGTATTTGTTTATGTGTTCATCATACAATGATACCTATTTTCATGAAATAACAATGGCAACTTCAGAGGAGAAAAACAAATTGACCTTTAGAATTGAAATGTAACCAATGAAGAGACAAATCAAATGAACCACACGTTAATATAAAAGAATAATCAACCGGTCAGAGAAGTTATCAATATGCTAATAATGTGAGAAACGTATATAAATACGTAGTGTTAAATAGGTAGCAATTAAGAAAGATATCTAGAGAATCACATAATACTAGTAAATGAAAATAAAAAATTTCTATTGTTTTTCATAGCCAGAAAGGTACTTGGTTTTGAACGAAATGGAAATGTGTACGATTAAAAGTGTCGACATAATAAGCGAAAACTTGAACGACGTATTTAACAAATTCATTAGTTGGCAATTGACGGTCCCATTAGGTTCATTTGTCGTAAATTTATTGGAAATTTCTAATATCAAGTCGAAGTACACTAAATTATTTGACAGTATTTCAGTTTTTGATGAAATCGAGCTTTTATATAGAAAATGTATATCGAAATAATGATTAAGGTAGCAATTATACTTCCAAAGAAACTTTCATTTCAAATTTGTGAAATAGATATATAAACGTTTAGAATGCAATTTTCTCACTTAAAATTGCTTATTCCCGAAAAGTTGTGTGATAACTATTGTTTGAAATTATCTGTTATTTTTTGAACATTTGCGTTACAATGATATATGTATCTTACAGGTCAATGGATTCATTTTTCAGTAGGATTCCTAATTCCTTCATATAAGAGTTAGGAAAGAGGCGTAAGTACAAATTTTCAAATCCTAAAATTGACTATATAACTTTATCGACTCCTCTTTACTTCAAAACGAAATACATCTCGCAATCTGATCGCACATGTATGTTAATAGTATGATGTTTAAAAAAAAAGAAAATTGAACGATCGTATAAATGTAAACTTCTTTACTTTCAGTCAATAGACATTTAATCTTCTATTCTTAACAACGTTTTTATTTCAATCAAACCGTTCAAACATCACATAATAAACATGAAGATATTCGACGGATAAAATCTTCTATTTTTGGGTTATTCTTTGTAAAATACAATAATGATTCAATGATAATATGGTTTAATTCCTTTCTTGTTATAAAGAACATTATTGTCCAGGGGTGAACGAGTGCGAGTAATGCGCAATAAGAAAATGCAAATTTTCGTAATAAAAATATCTGCAATTTCTACGATAATGTATGGAGATGAAATTATTTTAAAATCTTTATCAATTTATAAATATAAGACTACGTGTGTGAGGAAAATATATTCCAGTTGTTTAAGGATATTAAATAAATTAAACAAGTACAAAGAAGCAACGACATACCTTCAGACTTCATATCTGTATTAAACCATGACATCTATTTATATAGTTATTAGAAATCCTTGCCAAAAAACAACAAAGGTAAACTTTGATGCTTTGTTAAAAAAAAAACTTGTATATCACCTGATCATATTGAATCAATACAAGATCTTAATTATTTGTCATGTATATCGTTGTTTTGATATGAGTTAAAACTAATAATACATTCTTTCAAGTTTTTCTTGGAAACGCATTAGCCATTTTAAACGTTATCGATAAAATTGGTACCTTTAATTCTATTGTACCACATACCTATTCAGTATATCAATACTTGCTTTTTAAAATAGCATACATAACAAAAACGATGAAAAAAAAATGGAGTCAATATTAAATTCACGAAGGTCAGCCAACATCTTTATCGAAAGGAAATTGACAGAATAACAAAAACAGAAAACTAAATAACGATATTATCTCTTGTACAAATTTAGTTACTAATTTATGTATCTGTATAAAACTACGTGTAAGCCACCATTCTCTTAGGTAAATGTCTGTACCAAGTCAGGAATATAACAGTTGTTTCCAACTCTTTACGTTGGTTGATAACGTTTGATGTTGTCAGATTTTATGGACTTCCCCTTTTTGAATTTACATTGGAGTTCGGTATTTTTGCTATACTTTATATGTATCTTATGTATATGTTTACTACATCAAAGATTTCAATTCCCTCAAGACAATGTTGACTCAAAATGATTTTTCTCTTTCCTGTGTATGCTCTCTTTTGTTTTTGTTTTTTTTTTCTTAGCCATGGTGTTGTCAGTTTATTTTCGACTTATGAACTTATGAATGTATCTTTGGTATATTTCTCCTCTCTTTTTCAATGTTTTTTTGTTGTTTTTTTTTGGAGGGGGGGGGGAGGAGTTTAAAACCTGTGATATCGAGTGCACATGACAAAGCGCGTATCATACGCATTTACATCGGTGTCATAAGTTTATATTAAAACAAACTTTGAATTATATCCCGCATCTTCTTTTACTAATGTTTAATGTTTGAGAGCTACTTTTATTTATATCTATTAAGACTAATGCCATAGCCTGCATTTCAACCTTTACGAGCATTGTTTTATCTAATGTAACTATACACTGACTTTGATATATTTTTGCTTGGTTTGAAACAGGAGAGAAAAATTCGACGATCCTCGATCAAAACATTAAACTTATTTTATATCATCTATAGAAGTTGGGGGAATCAACATTTTTCAAAGAAAAAGAAGGACACTAAAGGAAACTAATGAGCTCGCCCTAGAACACCAAGTAGAAAATCTGAAGCAATACAACGAAAGAACAATAGCCCACTTATTTTGTTAGTTGATTTAAAGAGAGGCGAAATATACCATAGGGATATTGAAACTCATAAGGCGAAAATGTACTGACAATGCGATGGTAAAAAAACGAATAACGACCAAAAGAAAAACACCAGTACACAAAACCTCTTTTCAGACGCTTATACAATGATTTGTCGAAAAGCAGAAAAACGAATCAAAACAATACAATATCATCCGAAAATGTATTGTTTTCTTCAAGTAGGAAAGGACGTTCCTTACTTTTGAATTATTTAACTTGCACTCCTGAGTACCTTCAAATTATGTTCATCATGGAACATCGCAGATAAAAAAAAAAACAAAAAACAGAAGGGGTAATTTATAAAAAAAATATTTTAACCGCGCCATATTTTTATGAGCGTTTCCAATCTAGAACATCTATCGTGGTTGTCTTGTGTTATGCCTATTTTCTGCAAGTTTTTTGGAGAAATTGGTTGATCTTTGATAGTGACTTTTTAGTCAATTGTGGAACATTTTATATTGACCTCTACTTATATTTTGATAAATTTTGTCGTGAGGTTGTCTTAGCAACTTATGTACGATATTTCATATCTCTTTTTTATTCATACAAAAAAGTAATTGACAGACGGACAAACAAACAGACAGACAATATATTGAAGACTTATTCTTAAACATATTACGCTCTACCAATTTGAAAAAAAGTTTGTGTTTTTTTTAAAGGATGTGACTTTGACAGTTTGGAAAATATCGGTATATATAGATGTCGATTTAGTGCTATTGTATTATTATGATAAAGCACAATCCAGTGAATAGGTACTTCAAAAACATTATAAGAAGCGTGACATCAATTGTAAAATTAATTTTTTTTTTTTATTTTTTCAAATAATTAAACGCAAAAAAGATTTCGTATTTAGTTAAGCTTTAACTGGAGTTATATAAGTTAGAAAATGCACAATCTTTAAAGTGCGCACAGGAATGACATGTCAGGAATCTTAAGTTGATCAGGTTTCAATAAACATTTTTAAAGAATTATGTGAAAAACGTGTTCATTATGACTTGATATAAACAAAGTGATAGTAATCAGGCGGACAGGCATGAATACTTCAATATTGCGTAAATGTGGTAGTGTAAATTATTACTTGATTTTAAAGCAACTATGGACTTTTTTTTAGTTGCCAATATTTATATTTTGTAATTAACTACAAAAACTTGTGTTGTACTAATAAATGGGACAAATTCATATTCGTAGACGCGGTTGTTATTTTATTTTTTTTTTTAATTTGGGAATAGGAAGACTTATTCATAAGCAACGGATTAATTCTGACCTAATTATCTCAAGGGAAGAATGTCTTTTTAAAACACCCAACACTCAATCAATCGTTTTTTAAAACTTGATATTTAAGTTTTGATGGGATTCTTATTACTCAGTCTTTTTTTTATGTTGTGTTTTATATACTGTTTGTCTTTTGATAGTTTTTCATTATTTACAAGTTTTCAGGGTTTTTTCGATTAATGAGTTTGAATGTCGATTTGGTATCATTCGCATCCTTACTTGAAGTGACTACTACATATTCTTCATATTTCATGATATTGCTTCAAACCTCGTAAGGCAAAGCCTACCTTAGGTTTATTTTAGTTTCCAGTATTTGTACATCTTTGGATTTGAATGTTTGGGTTTTGAGCGAAATTCAGAAGGCGTGTCGGACACAACTAAATTATAAAGTGTTATTTCTATTTTCTACCACTGGGTTGATACCGCTTCTGGTGATTGGTAATTCCCGTGTGTATCATCAGCTCAGTATTCAAAGCTTAGGCACTGAATCTATTTATAACATACCTTTCTTAAATTCTCCGTTAATAAAATAAAAAATTATTATGAAACTACGGTTACAAACCCAAGGCAAATTTGGCCTTAAGTGAATTTGGCTACTTTTTATGTCCCTTTTTGCAAATTTAGCTCCTCGCGTATTATTCCATATATCTTTAGCTTTCAATGTTTTGGGTATGAGTGTTCCTGATGCAGGTAAAACCAGGAAAGTGATGTGGATGTACCAGAATAATAAGTAGTTTCATTTTCATTATATTTTTATTTTGTATGCACTCAATACAAAATCATTGTATACTATTTGTATGTAACATGTCTTAAGCCTGAAAGGCAGGGCGGTTACAATTAAAGGAATCTGATGAGTTTGATCATGTACAATTTCGGCGTACCAGCATACATAGCGAAAGCATCACTTCTGTGGCACTCAGGGACATTTCGTTAATAAATGAACGATTTCAACTCGAAATTTTTGTGGAACTTAAACAAAACTTAGTTATATACTCTAATAGTTTTATTTACCATTTTCCCCGTTGTTGTTGTTGTTATAAAGGACACTTCATTCACGTTTTTTTTTTTCAGTTGTCTACTAGAAAAGCAAACAGGACAATAGTCTGTAACCGCAATGGATAACCGTTTTAATCGATATCGGATAAAGTATTTTCCGCGTTTGTATGAAATAATTGTGATGCTGCCATTTCATATTTATCTAATTATCTTAAGTATTTTCAAGAAATATCATTGGTTGCAACATAAAAATATGCTGTGTTTTTCAAATTGGTCGATAGATATAACAAAAATGAATATTTTAAGGAAATTGCTCTCATGACGATTAAACTTAGTTAATTGTAATTGAACTAAGTTAATAGTAATTTTGTTTAACCCTTTATATTGTTGCGACAAAGTTTATTTAGGTCATGTAATAGGTTCGTTAAAATATTTTTTTCAAAAGGATACCGGTTCTTGTTTCCCGGAACTTACTATATTACTTCGATTAATAAAAACCTGTAAACAATTTAGTTACAAAGTAATTAATACTAATACATTTTCTGCGCAACCGCCAAAAATATGATTTTGTATTATATTACCCTAAAGATTCAGTATCACTTAGGTTTATTATCACTTTGAATGATCATATAAAAAGGTATTTGTGGTTTCAAACAGAAATATTTTATCAATATTTCACTATAAACCATGTTAACTATCTACTACACTAACATCATGGTTATAAGGCATCTTTTACAAGATACTAGTATTGAATAATCGGTTTTACAATTCATTTTATAATATGTAAATAATTTGAGAATATAAACATTAAACAATTAAATATAACGCAGTGATTAACATGACTTTAAAGAAGATAATCGTAAGGGGGTTGTCATCTGTAAATATTCCTATACAGGCAGGAGCTGATAGTTTCGACAAACCTTTATTTCAAGTGTCTATGAAAAATGGATCAACTGATATATCAACTAAAAAGGTAACGTACATGTATTTTATTTGATGATGTATTTTGTTGCAAACGCTGCATACAGTAGTTATACATGTGTCAAGGTGTCGAGACACAGATAAGTTTTAGTTCAAATTTTAGATATCTTACATTGTATGACTATACACAAGTCCAAGATATTATCAGATTCGTATGTAGGTAACTGCAGGTTTTGGATAATATGGTTGCTTTCTGTCGAGCGGAAAATAAGAAAATTATATTACTTTTCTAAGTTGGAATACATGTAACTTACCCTCTACATGAGAGCAACTTCTTTGTGAACTTTTTATATTTCTATTAATTCTTAACTTGCTTCACTGATAGCTGCTGTTTATTCATTTTTTTTTAAACCTTACTAAATTGTATTGGTCTCCTGGAAGACCCAGGGGCCTGTTTATCGAAGCAGTCTTAGGATTAGGGCGTGTCATAAGACCAACTTAGGACATATCTT